TTGTATGTGTGAGGTAAAGGCAATATCTTAGATGACTCCCAAGTGGCTGGATGGGCAGCTGGAAGGGGATATGGAATGTTGAAAGAAGAGATTGAGGCAATGGGAAGATGATGAATTCTGTGCTAGACATGCTGCATGTCAGGTACTCATGGGGCGCTCAAGTGGAGAAGCTTCGTAGACAGATATGTGTATGTGGAAATCAGGAAGAATTTGAGGCAGGCAGTAGATATTTTACAGTACTTACGATCACCCCTCGATTCTTAGGAGCACACCTAAGATCAGTTCTGGTACATTGGTTTCTAAGGCTGCTGCAACACATGACCATAAACTGGGTCACTTAAAACGGAAATTTATTCTCTCACTATTTGGAGGGTAGAAATCCAAAGTCAAGGTGTCAGCAGGGTTAGTTCCTTCTGGAGGCTCTGAGGGAGAATCTGTTCCTGCCTCTCACCTTGTTCCTAGTAGCTGCTGGCAGTCCTTGGTGTTCTTTGGCTTATTGATGCATAACTACAATCTCTGCCTCCATATTCACATGGCCTTTCTCCTGTGTCTCTGTATGTCAGATCTCTCTCTCCTTTCTCTTATAAGAACACTAGTTGTTGAATTTAAGGCCCACCCAAAATCTAGGGTGATCTCATTTCAAGATCCTTAATTTAATTACATCTGCAAAGACTCTATTTCCAAATAAGGTCGCATTGACAGATACCCGGGGTTGGGACATGGATATATCTTTTTGAGACAAGCAATTCAACCCATTACAAGTAGTTTCCTGTTTTTCCTTCTGCCTCTCAACAGCTTCTTTCCTTGTGGTGCAGCCATTACTCATTCTTTCTGTTTAGATTTTATTCCCTCTAAGATTGGAATTTCCAGTTCGTCCCTTTTTTTCTGCCCCAGAAAAATATATAGAAGGGACTTTTTTTAATTTTCAGAATTTTGTTGGTGATGGTTAGGAAGAAACACCAAAACATAAAAAATCAAATTGTGGTGAATTTAATAAGATTACAGAGTCTCACAAATTTCTAACATTAATGATTCCTAACCTACATTTCCCAAATCTCATTTGAGATGCTAACTGGAAGCCATATTGACCTTTGCCCTCTCATTTCCCTCCTAAGATTGAGGCTCACCAAACCTCTCCTAAACACATACCCTCTCCTCTCATCCTGTCTTTAGGTGTAATTGCTGCCTGAATAGATAATGAAGGCAGAATAAAATGTATTGAGTGATCATTTGGAGTCTTTTGGACTTTGATGGGATGACTCCCATTTCATTGAACCTCTGTACCAACAAGAACTGATATCCCCTCACAGATTTTATCATAACTGCCAAATCCTTGCAACAGAATTGCTGAGTGTGAGTATGTAGGGAAAAGGAAAGAGGGAAATAAAGAGAGGAATTAACATTTTTACTGCTTCCTCAGGTACCAAGTGTTATCTACTCCTTCACATGTGTGATTTCATTTAATTCTTCCATAAACGATACGTTCATTTTACAGTTGAGGGAAATGGAAGCTCAGTGAGATTAAGTATTATACTTTGTTAAATGTCACACTTTCCAGGAAATAGAAATCCAGATGCCTCTGAACCCAATGCCCAAATTCCACCTATTTCACTATGCCATTTTGCAAATAAACTAACAGTTACTGAGTAACTTGGACCACTGGTTATACTAAAAGACTATATTAACTCACTTGATTTTCACAACATTTGTGTATCTTCTAAGTGTTTTCCCCATTTAACCAATGAGATCATTGAGGCTTAGAAAAGTAAAACAACTTGTACAATTAATTTAGCTAATAAGTGGCAAAGCTAGGATTTTAATTCAGATTTGTCCAACTCTAAACCACATACTTTTTATGAGGATTGAAACCTTGGACCAAAAACCTAAAGAGCAAGTGAAGAAAAGATCTCAAGCAAAGATACGAAGATGGAAGAGTCAGAGAAGAAGGGGATCCAGTGCTATGATGGGAAACAAGGAAGAAAGGAGTTTCGATAATGAGAGGATGGTCACTGCTGTCATTCTGCAAGGAATGGAAAGTGTTCCTTGGTTTGGGCAATTAAAAGAGCAAGGGAAGCAGAAGCAAAGTTGTAGTAGAAATGGGAGAGTGAGGAGGAATGGGAGAGTGTGATATGAATCTTTGAGAAGCTTGGCTTAGAAAGTAAAGAGAGAGACAGGATTGGAAAGAGAGGGCAACACAAAGTTGAGAGAGACTTTATTTGCTTGTTTTAGGAAAAGAATCTTGAGTACTTACAGGTTGAGGTGGCGGAGATGGTAGAGAAAATCAGATAGATGATATAAATGTCAAAGAGAATAACTGATGGTGAGGTATAGAAAGCTAGAACACAAGTTTAGGGGATTTGCCTCGAAAGAAAGTGGGGTTACCATTTTCACTGAAACGGGAGGAGGCAATGGGCATAAATGGAGATATATTTGAAGCTAGTTTGCGGTAGGAGTCGGGGGGTTAGGGGCAGGAAGGTGAGAGTTCAGCCTTACTGGCCTTTCCAAAATCAGAGGCGAGGCCATTTGCTGAGAGAGAGGGAATCAGCAAGGTTGGGAATTTGGTGACTGTGATGAAAACAAAATGTAAAGAAACAGCAAAGGATCCTATTAATATTCAGCTTAGTAATATACAAATGGCTTTCATGATTTAACACAGCAGATACAAAAGTTTGAATTTCATATAGCATTTAAACTAAAACTCAAGTCCCTAAAAGCAAGAATGTTTATTTTAAAGTGAACACCTATTTCCACCTGCACACGAACACACACCTCAAATTGGAAATAGCTATTACAGAACATATGTCTGTCAGTTATTCACCCCCATAATAATTTGCATCCCTTTTGCATCTATATTAATCATTTTTCCTACACAATGTTATCTTGGCAGCACCTAAAAAGCATAAAGAATTCATACTTTTATTCAACACCATGTGCCACACCATTTCAAATATATTTGTGCTCTGGAGAAGCTAAATAGACTACAAAAATGCATGATGCCAGGTGGTACATAAACAGGGGTTAGAGGATAGAAAATCGGGGTGATCCTCTTAAGATCTTACTAAATGAACATATGCTGAGATCATCACTGTCATATAAGAGCTGTATTTCTTTCCAGAGAGTAGTGTTCATGAACAGAATAGTTCAAGGATAATGTAAGTAAGAAGGTTGTTCGGGAGAACCAAGTCACGAGGTTGAGGATAATATAAGGTTAAAAACAACCGTCTTTTATAGTAAATATTAACCCTAAAGGTTTGACCTAGGTCTGATTAGTTGTTTCCAAATTAATACTTTATTTATAATGAGTAGGGGTGTTTTGTTCTTTGAGTAAGTTCCAATGAATTTAGCTCTGAAAAGTAAAATATACAGTAGCTTTCAAGGCTTCACTATTGCCTGCACTGGGACTTCTCTTTCTGCCTCAAGGAGATCAGAGGACAAGGTCTAGTCTGTGCATAGTAAGGGGGGAAAAGGCATGGATCAGTTAGAAACCTCCAGCACTGAAGCACTATACTAATCTGACATCAGCTTCTTCAGTAGAAATGTTAAGCAGCAAGAAAGTATTCTGTGTTTTTTGGCAATCAGCAGATCAGATAGAAGAGTCTAGCAATACAACGAGGATGTGTAATCTGACATGATTAGACAAGGCTCTTTAGTACCAGAACATTCATAATTGAGACAAAGAAAGAGTATTAATAACACTTTCCTAACACGGCAGTTAGCCATTTTATATTTCCTTTCTTTAATCTTAGTGTTTTTCAACAAATCATGGGATTTAATAGCGTGTTTTGGCAGATTAGAGGATTTATGGCCCAGATGTTTTTTGTTCTAAAAATGGATTAGGGTGTAAAGTTTGCTGGAATCCATGGAACATGTTGAGGCAAGCCGGTCATTTTATGTGTGATTAGTGCCTGCCTTCTGTCTCACAGTCCCTCCATCTGTCACAATTCACTGATGGATCTGGTTAGATTTAGCCTCATGTCACAAATAAGTCCCTTTTCTGGGCAATTTCATATTATAGATTCAGTTTATGCCATTTTATGCCCTAGTTAAAAGATAGGGAGACTGAAAGATGAGATATTAGCTTTCCTTTCAGTATTTGCAAAACAATCTTTTCCCATTGGTACTCTACCCTAAGATTGTGCAGATTATTATAATAATGTGCATCAAGTAAATAAATGACCAGTTCTGAAATTAAGTTAAAAATCAGTTTTACTCCTTACACCTGTTATTCTTTAAAAGCAATATTTTGGGAATTATTTTATTAACTCTGAATTGTGGAGCTGCAGACACAAGCTGGTCACTTGACCATCTTATTAAGAGTGTGAATTAAGTGTGACTGTAGTTACCAGTAACCACGATTTCTTATCAAACAATTACAGGTTCTTGGTTACATTCTGTGCTTGAAATTTAGCCCCTTAACTATTGCAGGTTTGTATCCATAGCAAACCACTGCCACCTGTGGTGTATTTCACCATAAATGGATTCAGGGGAAAAATCCTCTTCTTGCAGTCAGTTAATAATTATTTGTTCCTTCTGTTTATAACAAACCTAATAGTACTATACACAAACTCTAAATTGACCTTTCTAATACTATGAGAGTGTCAATAATTATAGTGATAATTATCAATACCTATATCCCATGGTAACATTTAAATGATCCTTACATGAAAAAAAAAATCAAAGATAGGTTTTATGTTTGCACTACAAAATATTCAGATAACTAAAAAAAGTTTGTTTAAAAATTATATTTTAAACTTCTTTCCAGACATGTGGAAACAACTATATTTCGGTTAAATATTATGTTTTTATTACATATGTTTGGCACCATGTTCATGTATGACTCTGTGATTCAGTCATCAATTATTCATTCATTTTTAGACAAATTCCATTGAGAAATTATTATATGCCAGCCATTACCCAAAAAAGAAGTAATTTTTGTAGTTAAAGGTTAACCTATCCATGCATTTGTACAAAACATATCCTTTGTTCTGGCACATCTTCAGGTTATTTAAATGACCATGATGCTGTCACCAAGGCAATCCAGGAAGCTCGGCAGATGAAGGAGCAGCTTCGGCGGGAACAACAGGTGCTCGATGGGAAGGTGGCTGTTGTGAATAGTCTAGGTCTCAATAACTGCCGGACGGAAAAGGTTAGTTCATAAGATAACTGACTTTCCCAAAACACTTAAATTGCCTGAATGCTTTTCTTCTTTGTCTTTTCATCTTCTCACCCTCAGTATGATGGTTGTCTCTCTCTTTTTCCCTCTGTGGATACAGAACTCGCCATGCCTATCTTAATCAAAACCATCCGGAAATGGGCAGATGGTTATTATTCTCCTGCATCCATCTCTAGACCTTATTGACAATTAATATACCTTTTCTGCTATCAGTTTGCCTTAAAATGAAATGGCATTTGAAATATCTGAGTCTGGGTGAAAGTTTTGATTTACAGAGATGCTTAACTTGTATTTGGGGATGAGCTGGATTTGAAAATGCTGAATCTTCCTTAATCGGCATAAGCTTGGATGATACCCATGCTCTAGTCTAGGTATCCGGGATGCTGAGCTTGTCATGATATGTTTCTAATGCAAAGCACTGTCAAGTTTGAGGTGATTGCACAATTGGAAAATTTGACTTTATTATAAAACAAAATGTGCTTTTTAAAACTTGGGCATTATTATTACACTTAAGCCCAGTGAAACTTCTGAATTTATCTGAGGTATAATAATTTCAAACTCTTTCGTCTAAGCTAGATTGCATTTTATTCAGAAAAGTATTATGTTATTATAGAATGCTCAGAGTGATGTACTTCTTTTGGTAATATTTGATATGTTTTGAATTGAAATTTCGAAGTGTTACCGAATTCCCTTTAAACAGTCCTATAGCTAAATAGATACAATAGGCAAGAGAAAAAATGATCAGCTACTTAGCAATAACTTGAAAGTTAATCATCATGGGAAACTTACGAGTCAAACAGTATTGTCCAGAATGAGCAGATTGCTAATTTGGGTAGCTTTCTGGTTTCTCAGGTTTTATATGGAAGTCGATGTATAATCTCTAAGAAGCTAGCCATCTGCAGAGTGAAGGTGAAATATATGAGTGATCCTGTCACAACTGTACTTTTCTCCAGTCCAAACATGGGTCAAAAGGATGGAGAAACGATTTCAATTCTGTTCTGTTTCTGGAGGGGAGAGCAAAATGGATCAGTATACATCCCTTGCAGTCTCACAACATAGGACGATCGACACTGGTGCAGCGAGAAGGGCACAAAATTTTTCTAGCTAAGCACCAGAAGGAAAGGGGAAAAGCAAAGTGACAGCTCTAAGAAGGAATGATAGCAAGCATAAAGAAATTTATATTCAAATATTTAAACATTCTTGAAAGGACGCTTGAACAGAAATTCCTTTTCTCTGCTCCCCATGTAGAAATGAGTTTAACACTCAGCCAGATGCTAATGCAAAGTGACTCAAGCTATTCCTCGCAAGCATAGCTAAATTGCCGTTATTTGTTAAGCGCATTGAATTCAGCTGTGGATACAGCAGTTGGTTGCATTCAGCAAGCATCTGTACCCTTTTTTTTTTTAATCCTCCAACACAGAGACAACTCTACCTATCTCCCCCCTCTCCTCCCCTGTGCTGGCTGGGAATTGTCAAGTGACAACCGACCAAATCCTTTTGGACGGGAAGCCTTCATCCTGAGTTCTATATACTTGCAAAACAGGCCTTGTGGTTGGATCAGGGAGCCCATTAAAAGCACTTTGATGGTATGGAAATTCATCTTCATGAAGCTCCTAGGCCCCTGAGCTGCATGCTGTTTAGCTGTGGTTACAGATCAGTCATTCACATCGGAGGGCAATAATTGTGCTGACGGCTTGTAAGGCAATGGAAGTACATAAAATAATCCTGGGCCCTCCACCATGGCACTGCGAGTTAATCTTCTCTAATACAGATCCACTGTTGTTCTAACACATGACTTGATGCTGGCTCCAGTGACTTTGCTCAGCCTTTTTATTAAGTCACAGGAGTGGAACCATCTGCATTCACTTTATTCCATAGTGGTCCATTGTTAGGGGACCTTATTTCCACTTCTTGTCCCACCTCCACTGTCATACTTGATCTCTCTGATTAGCACCTCCAATTTGAGTTGCAGGAGTGAGAGTTGTCTCTGTGTAAAGCTACTGTTTTCATTTTCCTTTTTCTTTTGTAGAATTAAAATAACTTTTTTAAAAATTTATTTTTGAAGTAATACCTGCCAAAATCTGCTGGCCAGTTAAGATGTCTCCATTCTCAAGAAGATTTTCATTCCCAAATCTCTTCGCCATGCACTTTCAATGCAGTTGAGTTACATCTTCAAGTATAGTCTTATTTTTATGGGTTTTAAGTGAAAATTTTAAAATAAGAAAGTGAAGCAGTTCCCCTACTGTAATAGTATGGCAAACTCTTGTCATGTGTAAGCAAACCTTTTCAGCAGAAGGATCTGAATTAGTTCCTCCCTTGTGTCACCCTTGACACTGAGAATGAAATTGAGATTATTGGAGCTTTCTTTGAAGCAGATATTACTGTGGTTGCCTTTTCCTGTTGAACTACCTTGGGTGTCGTTTCTGCAATATTAATGATTGATCTATGTCTGTGCAATTCATAGGAATGAGATAATGTCAAATTTATATCTTTTAATTGGTAATTATTCAACATTAGCACCTAGTATGTATTAGGGATGGTGCTGTGTACTTGAGGTACTGTATTGAACAAGAAGATATGTCCTCTGCCTTTATAGAGTTTATAGTTTAGATCAAATTATTATTTTGACTGTTAATCATGGCATATTTATGTGTGTGAGCCTACCTATAGGAACTGAATAAAGATTCCATATGCCTAGTGTATCAGATCAGTCATATACCTGAGTTGACAAAAGTGGATGCTTGTTCTTCTCCATAAAGTTGCATCACTATGGGGGTCAGCCTGGTGGCATAGTGGTTAAGTTTGCATGCTCCACTTCTGTGGCCCAGGGTTTGCAGGTTCAGATCCCAGGCAAGGACCTACGTACCACACGTCAAGCCATGCTGTGGCGGCATCGTACATACAAAATAGAGGAAGATTAGCATGGATGTTAACTCAGGGGCAGTCTTCCTCAAGCAAAAAGAGGAAGATTGGCAGCAGGTGTTAGCTCAGGGCCAATCTTCCTCACCAAAAAAAAAAAAAAGTGGCATCACTATGCATATTGTGTTGTTATTTTCCTAATACTTCCCTTTTTAATAGATTTTTATATTTATGACCCAACTTTATCCATGCCAAAGCATAGGTAGATCAGTAATTGGTTTGACATTTTGCTTCATAGTTCTTAATAAAAGATATAAACAGAATATATGATAAATTCTTCTTATAGTTTGCACTGTCATCTCATATCATTTGAATTCCAAAAGAAGGACATTTTTCTCTCTAAAACAATACTCCTAACTTCCTACACCCAGAAAGTATGTGAAATGTAAAGAGTGGGGGAGATAAAGGAGAGGGAAAGATAGAGAGGAGCTGGGAGAAAGGAAAGAGGGCAAGAAAAGAAATTCAGCTTGGTGCTTTCCATCAATCTAAAAGGTGATAGCATGACCTGAAATCCAGATAATTGGAATCCTGTAATGAAGATCTGTATTCTTGAGTACACAAACCATATACACATTAACTTTTTTTCACATTTCAAATGACCAACATGGTTGTCCCAACTAGAAGGTCTTAATTCTGAAAAGCTGTAATTGGACAGTGGAAACAATTAGAAGTGTGAAGACAGGAACAAATGTTTTCCAGTAATGTATACAAAAACACATAATGAAAGTCATTTTTACTGAAACACATTTTAATTGAAGACTTCTAAAAAATTTTTCATTTCTTTACTTTTCTTGGAAGTGTTTCAACATACCCAAGAACTGTGCATGTCAGGTTTCTTGGAAACTCTGGGACACAGTGTTATTTATAATTGTCATCTCTGGTTAATTATAGTCTGATTGTATATTCAAATAATGTAATCTTTTGCCACACAGCTCTGTTACAGATTAGTGTTATAGATGAATAAGTAAGCTTCTCAGGTAGGAAGAATCAGACATTTGTTTTGTAAACAACACCCACTTTGCTTCATTAACCAAATGGCACAGTTTTGACCATACAGTCAACTGCATACTCAGTTTCTGATCTTGTGTTTGAAGGTATCCATACCCAACAGATCGTAAAAACCTGTTTTTGTCCTGATTCCACCAGGCAATACTAATGTCATAGAGACCCAGTGCTCTACACTGAAATGAGGAATAGACCAGAAGTTTCCCCTCTTATTTTCTTCACTCCCAATGTAGTTATCCTAAGAAGATGATGCCTGTGCTGTAGTATCTTTTAGAAATGTATTTCATTACATGTATCAGGAAATCTAAATACAGTAGCTTCAACAAATAATGATTAATTTTTAGCACATAATGAAGTTCAGGAGTAGGAGGTTGGTGGCATTAGTTCATCAGCTCAGTGATGTCAAGAGTTGAAATCTCTATGATTGTCTTGGTTTTTCCCTTAGCGTCGCAGAATGTTGCTGCACCTACAGCATCCCATGAAGGCAAGCAGACTCGGGAAGAAAAAGTTGTTTTCTCTTTGCTAAGTTCAGTCTTCATTCGCATAGGGATGTTCTTCATTCCTCCTTCATTCACATAGGCATGTTTTACTGCACCCCTCAAACTGACTTCACAAATGTCTCATTTGGGTAGAGCTGGGTCGTATGTACACCTTTAAGACAATTACTGGCCAAGGAAGAGAAACTGCTTTAAACTGATCATGAATTATTTTCTGGGACTAAGTTAGAGACCTTATCCTAACCTCCCAGAGATCAAAGGATATCTTTTTTTTTTTTTGTAAGAAAGGCAGACTGCCACATGCAGCCTCATTTGGATGTGTCTGGAGTCTTGGAAGCTTGACTACCCTACGTTCCCCTACGGACCTTGAGAGCTTGTTTGGAGGTCCTAGCTGGATAGCATGGCTACTCGTATACCCTTAACCAAAGAATGATCCTCCTCTATCAGGGAAGGTTGTCCTCTTTGACAGAGTTCACAGCTTCACGAGAGTTGCACATGGAGCAGTGAGGGAGGAAGGGGACACTCGCCTAGCCAGCCAGATCAGCCACGTCA